AAATGCTGAGAGTCTGAAGTTATATCCTTAGCTTTGCCTGATTCATATCACCAGCCATGGTGGGTCAATTTTAAATCCCATCTTCTTAAACATCTGGGGCATTTCATGAGAGAAGGTCAATTTCTTTTCCACCATGGAACTGTCAGCAGGTGCTGTGGAACAAATACATTCTGATATACTGCAAATCTAAATCTTGAATGTTAAGAGAAGTACATCTATCTGCCAAGCAAGGAAAACAAACTCATAAAATATAAAAGTAGGCCAAGCTGAAATATGTGCATGAACTGACATTCACAAAGAGACATTTATATACAATGTGTGCTTAAGCTAAACCTTTAATACATGAGAACGATTATATTTGAAGTCTTTTTAAATAAGATGTGAAGTCTCTAAAATAAGACTCCCTGAAGGAGGATTTCTGACTCACATTATGTAGCCTCAGCATCCTCCAACACTTCAATCTTCTTTCACTTAAAGCTAAGTTACAGCCACTGATGTAAACATGTTGAGACCTCAAAAAGACTTGTTTTGATCCAAAGATTAGTGGCCTTAAAGGAGCTACTAGGCCTGTCACGACCATGAAAGTTTAGTTGACGATTAATTGCCATATAATACTTGTGGTTAACAATTTAATCGTCTTTTTGTCCATTATATATATCCATTAAGGTGCAACCCTACCAAACTTTACATAGCTTGTTTTCTGGCTGTCAATACTCAGCAGTTTCTAACTGAAGATAACTTCAGCCTGAGCTCAAATAAACCAACATTACTCAACGCCGTCCTCTAAAGGCATTATAAACCAACATCAAATAAACAAACAGTACTCACTGCTGCCCTCTAAAGGTGATACAACCTTAACCCTAACCCTAACCAAACATCAGATAAACAAACAACACTCACCTTGCCCTATAAAGGTGTTATTAACAGACATCAAATAAACATACATTACTCACCACTGCCATATAAAGGCGTTATCAACAAACATCAAAGAAACAAACATTATCCACCACTGCCCTCTAAAGGTGTTATAGCACCAATCAAAGGTTAGAACTTTTGTTGGTTTTCTAAGTCCTAAAATATGTCTCAATAAATGCTTTCATGCTTTCTCTTATTTACATGCATTTGCCTCAACTCAACTGATGAAAATGCACCGAATTCACATTCTGTTTGTTGTGATCACTGCATTGATTGTAAAAATCAACGTATATATTGATTCTGAAAGCAAACTAAAGTAGGAAATAACTGTGGTCTACGTAAATAATTGCAATCAGCTCAAATAATTATGATTACGTGCTTATGTAATGATTGTGACAGGCCTGTCTAACTATTACAAATAACCTGGGGATATACACAGAACCTGATTAAAAATTCCTGCTGAAGTAGTGCCACAAACATATGTATACCACTGCATTAGGATTTTTAATGAACTTGCATTTACATGTATCTCCTGTCAGTCTATTATAGACAAACATGAAGGAATAAAAAAAAGTCCATGACAAATAAGCAAAACAAGTGTGTATTCAAAGTGCTTTTCCAAGATGGAACAGACTGTTACTAGTTAAAGAGATGAAGTTTGCTATGTTTTTCAGGTAATGTGATTTGTTTAAACTGGCTGAATCAAGTCTAAGCTTTACATAAAGACTCAAGCTGAGACAGTTCCACTGTTACGGTGCTTCACTAATGTACTGCTACATCTCCAATTTCACCATTTGCCCCTGTAATTTAGGGTTGTGCAATGATATTGGAATAATATCAGTACTGGCAGATAATTACTTCGAAAAATTAATGCCATCACCATTTATTCATTCTACTGCATGTGTAACCTATAGAGGTAAATGATACACTCTCCATAATGCTAATCCAAGTGGATCTAGTCCCAATTTCTATGTTTTATAAATGTTTATGTATCAGCACTGTTATAGGCATCGGCAGATATGTATGTTAAGAATGCTGGATATCAACACTGGCCCACAATTCCTATTTTGATGCATCCTTATTTTAATTTGCACCTTTTTAACTTTAATTTAGTTGATATTATCAGAGGTTGACAGAAATGGACACATCTAAATGTGTATGGTCAGTATAGGGGACATAAAGCTGCTAAGAATTTGTTTATTTGTTTGTTTGTTTACCCAGCTTATTATGCATTAACAAGATGAATAATGCATTTGCTTAATAATCTCATATAAAGGCAGAGAACAATTTGAGGTCAGGGCAACTGTGTAAATATGTCAGCAAGAGCAACATCTGTCCTAGAAATTCATGTCTAGAAAATCTGTGGCAGAAAATAATGAAATGCAAAGAATAAGCATTAAATATTAATGTGAAAGTGATATGCATATCATGTGTATATGTATGAGTCAGTACGTGTTTGTGTGCGTGTGTGTGTGTGCCTTTCACATTCTGCTGTTTTTATTACTGTTGTCCTTCACTACAATGTTTTTCAGCAGCCAAAGCCCCACAATACGCTATAAGTCAAAATCAAGCGGACTTTGCCATGACATGAACACCTCTTTAAAGATTAAATATTTCTTGGAGAAGAAACGATTTGAATTTTGTTTTCAGTGCTGCAGTTTACTAACATCAGCAGTCTATAACACATACAAGTAAAAACACAAACAGCTGTGTCTCTGAACCCCCTCAGTCTTTAAAATACGAAGCTGCTGGGTACAACACAGTGACTTGAAATATTGGAACAGACTGAAGCTTTTGAAATAGTACAAAAAGTGTAGATGTGTCATTGTCATTTTCATTCTGTAGAAAATTTTTACTATAACTATGGAGATAAAATTTTTTCAATGAATAATGTTTTTGTATTTTAAAGAATGTATCAAAGTCCAGGTATCAGTAGTCAAATTTTGAACAATGCTTAGATGACATGTAAGGTCACTCCAAGCAACAGAGTCATAGAAATCGCCTGCTTAATATTAAGCTATTCGTTTATCCTTGTAATGAGAGGAAAAATCTTCAAACAGAAAGAATCACCAAACTTTACATTCCACTTTAACATCTACAACAAGAATCTACTAAATTCATGCCAGAAATCAAAGCATTTACTGCAGATGCTCTCTGGTTTTACACCGTTAGTGTGATTCTCCAGTGTTCAGTAGAGACACCAAGCCTTCTTGTATCGCTCACACTCACACATGCACACAAACACAAAAGCATAAAGGGTAGCAAATCCCAAAGCTCTGGTTTCAGTATTCATTAGGGACACTGACACGTCCCTCTTACCTGCACTATCACCGTAACAAAATCAAAACACCAGGATGAGTTCAGGAGGCTGAAAGCAAGCAAGCAAGAAAAACGTCTCAACTGGACAGCTAATCCACAAGGACTATGGAAGCCCTGTTTTTTTTTTTTTTGGGATATACTTCGCTTTTCATCTAAGCGTTGAGGGTTCGTTATTCTAAGAGCACTCTCTTAAGTGTTTACTCCTCCACTACACAGCCTATTCGTATGCAGGAGCTAGTATGAGCCAATCAATAGGCTTCGATCAGAGAATACAGAGACTGCTGTGAAGCCTAGCCTGAATCAAAGTCTTTCGTGTAAAAATGCTGTGCCCAGCCATTTATAATCCTGTTTTAATTCATAGTTAATCTTTTCATGCTCACGATTCGAGTAAGTCCCTCAATAGTGCTCCCAGATGTGCTTTTTACATAATCATTTAGAGAATAATACACAATCTAGCATCAGATATTGAACACCAGCCAGAAAATCACTGATAGAGATAAAGCAAATTTTCTCTGGGGGGCTTAATGTTTCATAGCAAGATACACAAACTGCCCAAAAGCTGAGCCTTCAGAATTTTGCAATGATTAACTGTAGTTACTGTATGCAATGATATTCCCTGTATGTGTGTGTGTTTCATGCTCATTTCATGTTCAGCAAAGTCAATGCATGCTTGCATTTAAGCAAGCAAATTCATTTCGCAAGAACAGGGTCGATTTAGTCGGATAATTGCAGAGCATCATTCCAGTCACCATATCATTGCTCAATCTTTGAAGGAAAGTATTATGTACTCCACAATAAGCATGAGGCCAAATTTTATACAGTGTTGTTCTATAATAACCTACTAGATTTTGTGGAGATGAAATTGATCTGTAATTTCCCTTTAAAGCATACAGCAAGTGAACTGACGTTTCCCACGTAACTGGCCTACAGTGCAGATGACAACAGTAAATGGAATCAGAGCACTGATTAAAACCCAGCTCCTTTTATGAGGGCTTTTAGGAAACTAATCCCTTCCATCAGGTAATAGGGGGCATTTTAAGAAACTTGTTTATTTCCATTTCAGAGGATTAGTGTGTTCTTTCAGTTGATTGCAGTGTATTATTTCAAAATGAACAAAAGGAAATACTGTAGACAGGCTACTTTTATTACACAAGTAATTTAGGAGGGAACTGAATCAAATGAATGAGGCTGTGAGGGCATGTTCAGTATTACCTAACACACTGTGCCTCACCTGAATCAATCCTAGGTTAGTTCACCCACAGTGTACATAAGAGAAAGACTGAATTTACTGACATTCAGGTACATTGAAACAAATATATTCACATCACAGTAGTTCCACATGAGTAAAATATGTTACATAAACACAATTGCTGTCTTTAGGTTTTTGGGCCGGTATTGTGTTGATGTAACACATCTGATTCATGTGGACACATTTAAATCAAGTACCTTTTCTCAGTGTACTTATCCAAAACTCTTTAACAGTCTCGTACAATGAGCTACTTCTTGCAGTACCAAATTGAGCCATCCAGCTCTGCTCTCCAGCTCTGAGCCTAAGCTGATTGATGTGAGCACTGCAGCCCATTTGCCTACAGCACTCTGTGGTCACTTACCAGCTCGTGTCCACTGGACAAACTTAACGCCAATCCTTTCCATTTATAACGCTGTTCCGTGTCCAGCGTGTGTATGTGGGCCCAGACATTTAGTTTGTGTAAAGCTCGTTCACTAATTGCCTCGACATTCGACTCGGCTGTTAAAAGCGCACTTACGTCTCTGAAGCGATTCCAGTGCTTGATCTTGCGGCTGTACTGGGAAATGGTGGACAGCCACTGCTCGTCTTCCATGAAATTCCCGCTCTTCTCCGCGTCTTTCCCGCTCTTCACGTCGTCCTCCATCGAAACCCCCACGAGCATCACGAGCGGGACGAGGAGGCGCCCCATGTCCCTCACGACCACCATCGCTCCTCTTCTGGGATGGGTCAGCAGCGAAGACTGGCTAACAGCGTCCTCTGCTCCTAACGGCCAGAGATGGATGCTGAGTCTTCAGTGAAATGTGACCTGATTACAGGATGCTGCTTTCTTACTGCTGAGGCGAGAGAGAGAGGGAGAGAGAGAGGAGGGGGTGAGAGGCAGGGAGGGAGGTGCCACTGTCATGAAATTTGCAATAATGTGCAAGGCTGGAAATAATGTGTTGATTATATTAATGCACACTTTTTACATACAGGTAGACCTGTCCAAGTAGCTTGCTTTGGCTTTTTGCTTTGATTTTGGAAAATATATAAACACAAGCACATTATACATTACATATTAGTTTTATAATATGTAATTATATGTACTATATTATAATATATATGTACACACCAAGCACTTTTTAGGAACATCTGTACACCTACTCATTCATACAATTATCTGATGAGCCAATCGTGTGGCTGCAGCACATAAGGGCCAGCAGCTTCAGATAATGTTCACATCAGTCTCAACAGAGTGGGGGAAAATGTGATCTTAGTGTTTTTGACTGTGGCATGGCTGCTGATCTCCTGGGATTTCCACACACAACAGACTCTAGAGTTTACTGAGAATGGTGTAATATCGAAAAAACATCCAGTGAGCAGCAGTTCTGTGGACAGAAATGCCTTGTTGATGAGAGAGGTCAACGGAAAACGATCAGATTGGTTTGAGCTGACAGAAAGGCTATGGTAACAGATATCCACTCTGTACAAATGTGGTGAGGAGAAAAGCATCTCAGAATGCACAACACATTGAAGCTTGGGGAGGATGGGCTACAACAGCAAGAGACCACATCGGGTTTCACTTCTGTCATCCAAGTGCAGAAAGCTGAGGCTGCACACAGGCTCACCAAAACTGGACAGTTGAAGACTGGAAAAATGTAGCCTGGTCTGAAGAATCTCGATTTCTGCATAGATGGTAAGGTCAGAATTTGGTGCCAACAGCATAAATCCGTGGACCCAACCTGCTTAGTGTCAACAGTCCAGGCTGGTGGAGATGGTGTAATGGTGTGGGAATCTTTTCTTGGCACACTTTGGGTCCATTAATACCAATCAGTCATCACTTGATTGCCACTACCTATTTGAGTACTGTTGCTGACCATGTGCATCCCTTCATGGCCACAATTTCCCCGTCTTCTAATGGCTACTTCCAGCATGATAATGCATTTCATGAACATGACAATGAGTTCAGTGTTATTCAGTGGCTTTCCCAGTACCTGGATCTGAATCCAATAGAACACATTTAGGATGTGGTAGAATGAGAGATTCACAACATGAAAGTGCACCTGAAAAATCTGCAGGAATTGCATGATGCAATCATGTCAACATGGACCAGAATGTCAAAGAAATGTTTCCAACATGTTGTGCAATCTATGGCATAAAGAATTGAGGCTGTTTTGAGAGCAAAATGATGCCCAAACTCTCTCTCTCTCTCTCTCTCTCTTTCTCACACTCAGACACACAAACACACACACATAAATATAGCAAAAAATATAGCAAACATTTTGGAATATGTGACTGACAGGTTGTTCTTGTTGCCCATGTGTGCCCTGTTAGATTTCTTCTTTAAACAATAAAATGTCTACTCTTTGTTTGGGCCCTGGGTTTTACCTGTGAACACTGCCTTTGTTGTTTAAAAGGATAAACTGACATAAAGACCAGAGAGCTGTCTATGGCAGAAAAGCAAACCAATTTGAAGCTGACAAAAGAGGGAAAATCGATCAGAGTTATTTCACAAGCGTTGGACATAGCCAATATAACAATTTATAACAATTTAGAATGTCCTGAGACATGTGAGAAACCACTGGTGTATTAACAACTAGACATCAAACAGGCCAGCCAAGGAAACAACAGTGAATGATGAGAGAAACATTGTAACAGCTTTAAAGAAAACCCCAAAAACAACAGTCAGTAACATCAACAACAACCTCCACATGGCAGGGGTAAAGGTATCACAATGCACTATTCAAAGAGAACTTTGAGAGTAGAAATAGAGAGGCCATATCACAAGATGGAAACTACTCATCAGCAGTATACATCAGAAGGCTAGGATGGAATTAGTAAGGAAATACAGAGATAAGCCAAAGAAATTCTGGTACAGAGATTTATTGACTGATGAGATCAAGATTAACCTCTACCAAAAGTGATGGAAAGGCCAAACTGAGGAAAAAGCAAGTATCTGCTCTTGAACAAAAACTCAGAAGCTCATCGATCAAGCGTGGTGGAGGTAGTGTCATAGCTTGGGCTTGCATGGCTGCTTCTGGAATGGGCTCACTAATCTTTATTGATGAAGTAACTCATGGTGGTAGCAGCAGAATGAATTCAGAGGTCTACAGAAACATTCTGTCTGATGATTACAGAGAAATGCATCCAATCTAACTGGGAGAAACTTCATCCTGCAGCAAAACAATGACAAAAACATACTCCAAAGACCACAAAAAAGGACTTCATCCAGGAGAAAAAGTGAAACTTTTAAAACTGGCTTAGTCAATTATCAGACCTTATGCCAGTTATGCATGTATTTCACCTTCTGAAAAGAAAATGGAAAATCACCCCAAAAGAAGAATGCAACAGGTAATCTCAGTGGATCACCTTCTTTATGCATTTACAAGCAAGAGACATAGAACCAAATATAAAGTGTTATTTACTTTAATTTACTTTAAGTTTATCTGTTCCTATACTGCCCTGCGATGGACTGGCGACCTGTCCAGGGTGTATCCTGCCTTCCGCCCAATGACAGCTGGGATAGGCTCCAGCACCCCACCGTGACCCAGAAGGATAAGCGGTTTAGATGATGTATGTATGTATGTATGTTCCTATACTTTTGCTCACCTAAAATTGGGTGGTCTAACACTGATGGTACCATGTTATTTAAAGTTATTTAATGCATCTAGATGTACAAAAGCTGAAATTCCGATCTATCGTCTCACATTCATCTTTTAATCTTAAAGTTAAATGTTTTCAGAGTAGGCTGTATCTACACACACATGCGCACACATCATAAATCATAATCAAATCTTAAGACAGAATTGTAATTCAATTTATTGGTTTAGTATTTGGAATCAATAACCATAAAGAAATCTCAAAAACATCAATTTAAAAAAAGAGGGGAACCTGTTCATTGGAACACTAGTGGGAAATGATCAACTTGCATGCAGCTTGCAATAGTTGCATTGGGCCATTAGGCAGCAAGCATGCCAATTCTTTACCAGTTCTTTAGGTGTGCTGTGATGGAACGCCTATAATTGAAACACTAGATTAACTGATGCAATCTCTCTGAACCTCAAAGAGATTTCTCTGTTCTCTTCTCCAAAGAAATGATATGGGGTAATCTGTTTACTGGATGCAATCAGTTTACACTGAATTAGGGACAAGGCAATCGTTTAAATTGAAATCCATACATGAGTGCACAGTTTAATTGAATTTTATGACTTGCAGATTAGATGCAGAAACTTGTTAATGATTAAAAACTACACAGACAAATGCTATCTCAGCTTCAGTGAGCATGTTAGTTTGCTAAACTCTTCACATGAAAGTGACTTCACTAAAAAGAACATATCAATGCAGATTTCTAATATATAAACTGGAGGTGAAACTTCAATATAAATAAGAAAAATAACTTTTTGTGTGATCTGCACTATATATGCATTAGTATATGCATCAAATGTTGCGGTAGGATAAATCTCTTTCAAAGTTCAAGTAAAAGGTCAAATACTAAAGTACATAAAAATCAGTCTTAATCCATTAGTCTGCACCTTTGATCATCACTCACTTGATGTAACATGTAAAATGTCAGAGAACCTAACAATCGACAGATCACATTTGATTTACTGCATGTGAGCATCTCAGTGTGTGGTGTAATTCAAACCACAAAGACCCATGGGGACTTTCAGGTGTCTTTTCTTAGTGTCACTGAAGGAGCATTCTTGACTATAGCTGTGGCTATCATGTGGTTAGTTTCCCATGTACATCTCTGCCAGGGACTAGGAGAGTCTAATTCCAAACAAGAACTATATGCTGCAGGCATGAAATCCTAAACCTGACACAATGACAAAACATGGACGAAATCGTCCCAGTAGATTTGACATGCCATTTATGATATGTGTACATGATCCTAAACTCTGCTCTTATGATATGTATACATGATCCTAAACTCTGCTCTTATGATATATATATATACATGATCCTAAACTCTGCTCTTATGATATATATATACATGATCCTAAACTCTGCTCTTATGATATATATACATGATCCTGAACTCTGCTTTTGTAACATGTTGCTTCTTACATGATACATTAAACTATACCCATTAAATATGTTTATTCATTTCATTCACAAACTGCAAATTAATTATCACTGACTTCACAAAACCAATTTTGCATAATGGAACATACCGTCTTGTGCGAAGAGGTCAAGCACTTTCCCTTCTGTGAAGAGGACTCTGAATATAATTTCAAAGTATAAGTAACTACATTAGCATATGGAGAACTGCCCTCTTATAACACTGTACTTTTATTCATGCATAATAAAATACTCATTTATGTTGTTTCACATTCACTCATGACTAAAACAGAGCTTCAGATGGACATAAATCCAAAAATAGCTGTTTTATCATCTCACAGATTCTTTAAAATGTACAGATATTCTGAGTCCTGTTCTCAAAATCTTTTTAAAATTAAAGGGGTACCAGGCATATCTTTAAGGATTCATTTAAATATTAACTATTTCATCTCTATTTTTCAGAACTCAATACTATATCTTTGGGTCATTTTTGAGTCAGCCTCTTTTAATATTGGCAATGGAGTTGATTACTAGATATCTACAAATCACACCTACAGGAGCTTTTATGACATCCCATTCTAAATCCATAGGCATTAATAGGCAGTTGGTCCCCGCTTTGCAGCTATAACAGCTTCCACTTTTCTAGGAAGGCTTTTTACAAGAGTTTGGAGTGTGTCTGTGGGAATTTTTGCCCATTCATCCAGAAGAGCATTTGTGAGGTCAGAACAAGAGGGCCTGGCTTGCAATCTCCATTCTAGTTCATCCCAAAGGTGTTTGATGGGGTTGAGGTGAGGGCTATG